CAGCTGTCCACAAACAAATGACGTCACAGCGGCTATGTCCACCTTTCACACACAGTCTGTGGCACTATGACTAAAATGGACGTAGCAGTTGTTGTGCTTCATTTTTGCTGCATTAAATTTGATAGACTTAGAGGCTTGATTAGCAGGAAGCCATTTCACTAAATCTCTTTTCGGCCTTTTGATAAGGATAAGAAGATATACTGCACTGGAAAATGTTTACCTAGAGGTCAAGGTTGTTCATTTTGGTCTCATAGTTGCAGAACGGTTGCTGATTAAAGTTGGTGATGTTTTGTTCAGGGGAAGTTTTAAAAAATTTGCTTTGGGCTTAAGGGGGTTACGCTATCTTGGACTTATAGCAAAACATGTTTGTTTAAAGCCACAAAATCAAGAATACTGAAAAAGAAAAACTGAGTGAAGAAGCTTCGACACTCAGGTTTGATTTTAGGCAACTTTAACATCTACTCTCCTTTTTATTGAAAATGTTGGAAGCATTTTGTTAACTGTGAAAAAGGAGTACATGATCTAGTAATTCAACAAGTATGAGCCTCTACAGAAAAACTATTCAGTTTCTGCTGTGGTGCTGGTGTCTTAAAATGACTTACACCAAACAATAATTCAGAGTAGGCTGATGCCATCCAAAATACAGATAAGTTGAAGGGTAATCAAAACCCAAAAGGCCAAAAGTTCAGGCAGATAATTTTTTCAGAGGTATTTTGGGAAATCCCTCACTGAATTTTTTTTACTCATTTTTAGGACTTCGTGTCCAAACAACGCCTGGGTTGCGGTGAAAACAAAAACTGCATTAAAGTGTATGTGAAGGTGGATTTTCCCCATAAGCATGCAAAAATATACCAGAATATTCAGTTAATTTCCACCAGAAACCCCACAAGAGAGGCGAGCGCACAAGAAGTGATGAGTGTTAGCAGCCGTCTTCACCGGGTTAATCTTTAGGAGGACTTGTTAGTGTGAGAGGAAATGGTGAGGGCAAACTGTAAGAGGAGGAAAGAAAGTGCTGTATGGACGAATACGTGAGAAAAGAAAGCAGAAGTAAAACATCACAAGAATCACAGTCCATCTAGTTGCACACATGGTGACAAAGAGGAGGACCTGGTAGAAACACAGTGTTAGAATAATCCAGCGACAGACAACAATCAACCTGTGAATGTGTGAAACGTCCAAAAGAGTCGTCTTGTTTTGTGTCATGTTCACTGGCCCACATTTTGGTGCAAATATCAAGAAATTCAAAACAACCAGTAATCAAGACACAATCCGATGGCTCTTTGAGTCACATGAGCTGATAAATTTAAAGGACCATACCAGTGGTTTTGCAGGATTTATCCCAGTAATGACAAACTGTGTATGTTTACATTGATGCCAAATAGATTTCTTTATTCCCTGTAGGTATGACAATCAACTTGTTGGAACTTGCTTTAGATGCATACTCGAGTTAATGTTTTAGTTGTGAGTCCAAGTTATGCCGTCATCTTGCAGTAATCCAGGAACTGCCAGAAAAATCTTTGTGATTTTAAGTCCTCAACATCTGAGTTTTGTTTACAAAAAAACTAAAATTCCCTTTATAAAAGAAATGTATAGGACTTGAAATAAGCGATTGAGACCAGAACCCCATGAGAAAAATGTTTTGTAAGGTAGCAGTTCAAATTAGAAGTAGGATTGTTTTCACATAGACTTTTACACAACCAGACTTGTTTTAGCAACCAGAGGAGGCGCCCCCTGCTGGCTGTTAGAAAGAATGCAGGTTTCAGCCAGTTCCACATTGGCTTCATTTTTCAGATCTGGAGGCATCAGAGTGTTAGAGTACAGATTTATGGTCTGAGATTTAAATGCTGAATGACACAACTGAGAGAAGACAGGTCAAACTGCTGAGTTGTTAAAGGTGTGCTGCATTGTTGCTTCATTAATTTCCTTTTTCCATTGTTTTAAACGTTTTCAAATAAATAATGGAGCAGTCCATGCCGAGCTAAATGCACAATTTAAAATCCTGTGCAGAAAAATAACATCATTTATCAGAGCTGGGAACTGTAGATACAGGAAGAATCGTAGGATTTTCAACTTTTCAATGGTCCTTGAACTAATCATCTGGGAAAGATATGTATTACCTATAGTCTGGAGAGTTATCTCTTTTTTTCCAGTTTTGGTAACACCTGTGGTCAAAATTTGTACGTGTTGATTTTATTTTTTTCTATTTTTGTAAAATAATAAAAGAAATTCAACAGATTTTTTTTTCTTTTTCAATGATTTATGTCATTAGAACTTGGGATGTCCAAATCTTTTTTTTAAATTCTCACCCCTGCTGATACCAAGTCCCAATTCAATACCGTTTTCCCAAAAAAGTACACACTTCGAGTATCGTAGATTACCTGTGGTACCTAGTTCACCTCCAGGTGGAAGTCCTTATTGTTGAATATTTTAAAGAGGAGGCAAATAGCTCCATCTGGGAAACACAGAGCCTTGTGGGGCTTTAACCTATTAAAGGGGCACCATGGCAAAGTCTACCGTGACACTTGAATGACCATCGGATACACTACTGTAGCCTAGCATCATACGTAGCAGCTGCCTTTTTGACCTCCATCGTGTGCTTGTGACTTGAAACAGCATTGCGAACACAAAGACAAACATCAGTCTGAAAGTTGATTTTCATACCATACTGTGAGGAATTTGATCAGATTCTAATGATATAAAGAATGTATGGTATTGAAAAACAGTAGATGTGACTGATGGTTAATGGACTACAACATGCAAACACACCGGTATGGTCCTTTAAATAAAAACAAATGATCTACCAAAAAAATATTGAGCATGCGCGCATTAACACGAAGAAACAGATGCATGGCCGTCGCACAACTTTTGACACCACTCCGATGGCTTCACACACTGTCACTCTGCTGTCCTGTGAAGCATGCATTAATGAAGAGGGGTGAGGTTGGGGAGGGAGGAGGGGGAGAGGTCTGCAGGGCGTGAGGTGAGAGGTCCCTGTGGTTGGTGAACCCACCGCCAAAGGTCGTAGAGGAAGAGGAGGTGGAGGAGGAAGAGGAACTTACATCACGGAGACAAGCAGAGTTAGAGTCCCCAAGGAGTTGTTAGTATGACAGTGTGGTTCTGGATCAGAGCACAGCCGACAGGGGGGGAGGAGGAGGGAGAGATAAAGCCCAAGGGGGGGAAGGAGAGAGGGGGAAGGAGGAAAGATAGAGCGGGAAATGTTAATCGGTCAAATCGAGCAAAAGGGGAGGAGGAGATACACGATAAGTCTGGCAGAAATAAGGTGGCCGATTTGAATCTGCGGACCACAAGGAGCGCAGAGAACACACACCCATTCACTTTAGACCTGGAAAAAACACAGCAGGGAAACTAAACCTTCATGTAGTCAAACCTTCATGTGGTCAAGTAGCATCGAAAGTGATCTGTATGAAAGTTACTGCATCATGACAAAGGCTGGAACAATCGTGAAACTCATTCCGAAGCCAAATATTTTTAAAATTTGTTTTGACTGCAGTAAATTCAAACAATTTAACAGGCGTATTTTATGTTGTTTTCCATTTTATCACTACATTGCTGTATGTGTGTTTACTCAAAGCGCACAAACAACAGCAAAATAGTCTAAAATAAGGCATATATGAGAATATAGGGGTGTAAGTAATGATTATAGCTACTGTCAATGAATCTGTCAGCTATTTTTTTTCTATCATACAGTTGTTTTTGTGTATAAAATGTCATAAGATGGTGAAAAATGTCAATCAGTCCAAGATGACGTCCTCAAATTTATTGTTTCGTCCACAACCCAAATAATCATTTTACTGTCAGAGAGGAGTGAGAAAAAAGAAGGAAGTGTCACAGAATTTGGCCTTTTTTTCTTTAAAAATGACTAATTGGTGATTATTTCAGTAGTTGGCAACTAATCAATTAATCGTTGCAGTATTCAATAATGCCATACTGCTGCTTATGTGTGGTTAGAATCCGTTATTTCGTTCTGTTCAAGCTTTACGCTCCACTATCATTCACAAAATCACATATCGGACTCTAATCTTCATCTGTTCTGAACATCAGCGAGCAGCAGCTGGTAAAACCTGGATGTCAGTGGTCGTATTAATCAGTGTACGTTGGGATTATGCTGCTTACTGTCCATATACGTGGGTTTGAATGTAGAATATTTCTGGGGTTAATTGTTTTAATGTACTGCTTTAAAGCAGCGTGACCTACTTTTTTTTTAATCTGACTATGGAGAGGCAAATATGAGACAAGCTAGTGGTCACAGTAATGATTTAATTTTTAAACATGACCAGAAACATGGTTTTATTTTTCCCCACAGGTCAGCTGAATGGGTGGTGGGAAGTGGCCCGACCGACGGCTGAGAGCGCTGATTTCACTGTGTAAAATTAGCACTTCTCTTGGTTTATTTAGATACTGGGATGATCAAATCACTTGAGAAGCTGGAACCACTTAAAATTCTGGTTGAACATTTAATTGGAGGGAGCTGATAATGATTAATTACTCCGTAACAGTGATCCCACTTAGATTGTAGCGGTGAGACCATTAATTTCCCTTCTCCAGTCATCAGACACATAAATCAGTTTTCAGTCGGGCCTTTGGTGATCGTTGAAGCACAGAAGTAAAAGCCAAACTACAAGGAAATCACTACAGCAGAGAAGAAGATACAGAAGAAGAAGAAACCTTCAAGAGCGTCTACATACAACAGTGGAAGAAAGTTCAGCATTACTGAGGTTAAGTATTTTAACATTACCATTGCATCAGTCAGTGCTTTCGATCTGAGAAAAAAGCATGAACATTTTAGTGCTTGTGCATATTATAACGTAGCTCATATATTGATTATGTTTTCTATGATTAAACACAGAAGCGTTAAAGTTTGTCTTCAACCATTACAAGGGGAATCCAAGGCAATGTCATAAATATCAGTGTGTCATAAAACATGGGCCCCAGATCAAATGAATGATGAAGCGCTGAATCCAGTGAGTCTGTATATTTACCTCCATACATCCAGACTGTCCTCTGTCTGAGTCGGCCTGCCTGCCGCTGTCTCTGCTGTGGACGTTCTGTCCTCCTGCCTGCAGCCTCCTCTCTTCTCTAAAGTTCTGCTCCTGCAGCTTCTTGTTGAGGATGCGGGCTGCGTTTTCAGCCAGCGTGTAGCCCGGCGGGGCCGACAGGTCCTGCCGTATGCTCACCACCTCTGGGTTTTTGTCACCCTGCGTCTCCACTATCAGCTGCACTGGGCTGGGTGAGCGCCCCCTGGCCGTCCGCAGGCACTCCTGCACGCTCCGGGGGTCCGTGGCAAGAGGTCCGTGAGCGGGGCTGGGTTCGGTGGTGGAGGGCGGTGTGGGGCGAGAGCGACTGGGGGACTTGTTGAACTTCTGCATGGAGTCGTAGACCACCGGGGTGTGGTCGATGATGTTGAAGAGGCTGGAGAGGCCGTCGTTGATGGTGGTGTGGACGGGGCTGTCGCGAGTCGTGGTGGAGCGAGCCCACGCCGACTCGTTGTTTCCCTTCTGGGGTGTGGTGGGGGTGGGAGCACGGCTGTTGTTGGGCAGCTCAGCCTTATTAGATGTGGACAGTTTGCGCTGAAGCTTAGGCGAGCCGTACTTTGGTGAACAGCAGGGACGCTCAAACTTGCTCTGGACCACAGGAGAGTACTGAACCTTCCTCATGCTGCGAGATGGGGATGAGATGGGGGTGCCGCCGCCCTTCGGGGTGAGGCAGCGGTGAGGGCTGCTGGTCAGGTTCCTCAGGAGGTCCGTCTGCAGACCCACACTGATGGTCTGGGTGGTCTGAGTGCCTCGTGTGGTGAATCCGTTGGTCTGGCAGGCAGTGTCCCGGACGACGGGCCCCGGTGGAGAGCGGATGGCGTTCCTCACAGAGATGGCCACCTCCTTCATGTCGTCACTCAAGTTTCTAGAGAGCTGGAGCTCCAGAGAGGAGGCATAGCCCACTGTGGGGCAGATAGGAGACTGGCTAGGAGAAGTCCTCAGCCCCCCGCTCTCCAGAATACATGGCCACCTTGTGGTGCTGAACACCTCATCCGGCCCGCTGGCTCCCACCCCGGCCTCCCCTCCACCCCTGGCTTTGGTCCCCTTGGCGTACAGGAATTCGGGGTCTTGGGCAGTGGTGCGCTCGGCTGCCCCGGGTCTGGTGGGGCTGTGGAGGAGGTGAACCCCATAGTGCTCCACTCCCACCCCTGTCGCCCCGGCTCCGTTGCCCCTCAGCGGGGACTTGTGGCAGTGCTCAGGGCTGCTCAGGGTGCTGGTGGTCAGGGTGGCGCTGGTGGTGAGGAACCAGGAGGCTGGCTGGAATGGACCGGGAATGACGGGCTCTCCTTCCCGGATCGGACCTGGAATGGGGGCGGGTGACTCGAAGTCCCAGCCCTTATTGTTGAACTCCTCAATGTACTTGAGGTCGTCCGGGGAGAGAGGTGGGGTGACGTCGTCTTGGCCCTGATCGCCGTGGCGAGTCTTGTCGGGGAGGAACGGCGAGCTGTCCATTAACCGCTGGAAGTCGCTCATGGAGCACACTGACTTGGCTCTGGACACAAACACATTATTACCATTAACTTCAGCAAAATATCCCAACAAACATCCAACCTGATAAATGATCTCAAAATCTTAAATGTGTCAATATACATATATGTATGTGTGTGTGTGTGTGTGTATATTTATATATTTCTGGTAAAGTAACTCAAAGCCTTTCAATGTTTTAAAACTGTCTGAATTATTTAACAGCGTAGTGAGCAGGATCTCTTCCCTGCCATAAAAGAAACCTTCACCGGGGGGAAACTCCCTGTCACTTCAAGTAACACTTATTAGAACCAACAGCCGATCTACCAGGGGACCGATGCGTATGTATGAGAAACAGAAATGCAGCAGTGAGCTGAATAATCTGCAGCTTTTCAGACCTGTTCTTGCTGAAAATTTTACTGTTGACATGTATTAAAATGCAGCAGCTTCCTGAACTCAGTTTGCCTCAAAGTTTTCTCAGGAGGTTACCTGAGCAGACTTCCACCCTCCCTCATCTCCTCGTCTGCAGGATCTCCTTCTCTCTCTGAAATCTCGTTCAGGGCCTGAAACACAACAGATATAATAGTTAAAGCATGTGGAGATGGTTCTGTGTAAAATGATTTATAGACCGTAACACCAAGAAGATTCTAAATTGAATATCTGTCATTTGAAAACTGTGAAAAACAATCAATAAAACACACAAACTGGCTGCATTTTGGTAATCCGAACATACATCTTCTTTTTAATGGCATACAGACGCTGAAAAATAACTTTGAAGAGTGATTTTTGTTCCACAAACTTTTAAATATCGCTCCCTAGAGTGTTAAAGGATGTTCGCTGACTCTACGGACTGGTGTGATGAAAATAATTGGGATATCTGTCTCAGCTAAAATGAGACCATGTTGATGTTCATGTTAGGGGGGTAGCAACGTGTTCGTTAAATTAAAATTTACATTTAGATGAATTCCCATTAAAAGATCTTTTACCTCAGTTGTTCCCCACAGTGAAGCTGTCTGGATCCTAAAAAAATGTAGTTAAGCTTTTCTGGGAGGAAGTTTTATGGATATTTTATGCTTCCTTGGAGCTGCGAGCGCCTCAGGAGTTAAAGATACTTAAGGAGTTTGAGATGTGAGTTCAGTGTCGGAGCACAGAAGTGCCAAAATAAAAACAGTGTTTTTATATAACTGAATGCTTTGGTCAAAGGCTGCAAAAAAACTGAATTATTACTTAGCAACTAATCAACCTTTAACTACCTCAATTAGTTATTTTTTCATTAAAATGCCACAAAACACCAGTGTTAGCAGCTCTGTGAGGCTGTACTTAGACGTAGTGGTATCAACATTGGTGAGGACACATTAAACAGGGTTTTGAACAAATTATTGTAGGATTGTATTGTAGGAGTGAAATATTAAACCGAAGTACTGGACATACTGAATTGTTGGTACTGCTAGATGAGTTCACAAAAGTTCATCAGTAATAGGCGATGAAACTTAAGATCAGAGAAAACTTTAATGATACTGAAGGAAATACTTGAAATAAAGATATACCCTTCAAAGTCATTGACTAGAGATGTCTTAATCCCAATTCTAAGTTTTGGATCCTAAGATGGGGAACGGTGTTCATGGCAATTTTTAATTTAATGGTATGAGTAGCAAATTAAGCCGAATTCTTTATTCGCATCCATTCTCACATGGATAAACAAAACAAGCTGCAACGTCACCTGCTTTTTTTTAGTGTTTCAGATACTTCCAGGATATAAGAATGTGTCCTAAATTAGTCCAACTTGATTTAACCATCCAGCACTGGCTGGAGTTCATTCAGCATAGAAGACTTTGTCATGGCTCCCCAACAAGCAAGAGTCTCACAATGCCCTGTGCTCGCAAACACAGAAAAGTCCACCTCCCCTGGCCGCTACAATAAGAAACAGTAAGAGGCTTCACCTGGTGGTGCAACCAGTAGCTACAATATTCAAAGAGTGTATTATTTCGGAAATTTCTAGAATGCATTTGTAGGAATTTCATAGACAAAGGATCAATAAAGTTTTGTCTTATCTCATTTTAAAATGGTACCAGGTATCAGCAGATACTAAATATAAAATGACTCGGATCAGGACATTCCTACCATAGACTGTACATAAAAGATGAATGCAAACAACCATTTCAAGCTATGAGTTTTGAATTTGGCTGCCACCATTTTGGTCTTTTTAAACCAGTCGTAATGAGTGAAGGATAAATCTGACTTAGAACTCAAGGATACTATGACTGTATTACCCTGTCAATCTTCAACATACCCTGCTTTATCATCTATTATACTCTAAATGGGAAAATAGTTTACAAAAGGAACATCACGTTGTACTGAAAGGGATTTGAAGCTAGTGACTGACACCATAAACTCAACAGGAAAATGTTTACTGAGGAACAAACCAAGTAAGAAGTAGGGTCATTTTTTCATAGACTTCTATACAATTTGAATTCTTTTTGCAAGCAAAGGAGGCGCCCCCTGCTGGCTGTTAGAAAGAATGCAGGTTTAAGGCACTTTCAAATTAAGCTCTTACTACCATCATCCCCAGACCTTGATGTTGCTTTTCAAAGCTCTTTTTGTACTTTTGTCCTTATCTAGACTGATATGCATTACCTCCTTCATGCAGGGGAACCTCTTCTCACTCTCCAGTCTGGAGGGTGGTGGGACTTCCAGGCCGCTGAGGGGATCCAGAGACAGTGCGTCCAGGAACAGGTTCTCCGTTGGGCCTTTCAGCCTCATCGCGGCGCCCTGCTCCTCCAGCATGGCCTCAGAGTCGGAGTGGGAGCGTTTGGGGGGAGGCGGGACAGGAGTGGACGTACAGGGGGAACGAGGGGCCCGAGGCGACCGGGGAGCGCTGCAGGGACTGTCCTGAGGTGAGTACACGCCTCTGTGGGCCGAGCTGCCATCTTTGACGTCAATGCCTTCGCCTCGCCGGGTGTTCAGCTCTCTCTGCATCTGCATCATGAATAACACATAGATGTATGAGTCTTGTTTTCTGGAAGATGTAAAATGTAAACAAACAGTAAAACTGGAACTGCTGCTCCTCTCAGTCCCATGTTCATCCATAGAAGGATGATGCATCTAAATTTGGTAAATAGCTTTTATGTAGTTTGCTGAACTCTCAGGAAAAAGCTTGAGAAATAATGCGTCGATTTCTTGGAATTTATGGAACTGCTACAGATATTTTTTTCTTTTTTCTGACCTCTGATTTTATGGGTGCATTTAAACTGAATGTGCCGGTCTCATTAACTACTTTCGTATCATGTTTATTTATAGTTTTATGAGTTTTATACTGCTTAGATAGTCTTTAAGATGCCACATTAGGTTATTTCTGGGTGGAATAATTAACATGATTTTTCACTGGCAATTTGTTTACAGTCATACTTTTTAATTTTGATCTTGCAACATATTCTGTCCCATCTTTTTCATTTTTGTTCCCGTCTGAGTTGGACTGGACACTCTAAATGAAAGGGGTAGATGAACATTTTGAAAAATATTTTCAAATGGAAACATATTCAGACACCAAATAGCTTAGCTTAGCATAAAGTTTGGCAAAACAGGAGGACCAGCTGCTCTAACTTTGTCTGAAGGAGAAAAAAAAAATTCTCCAGGTGCCAGTTTGTACACGAAGCAAAGTTAACTGGCTGCTGGCAACAGCTTCATATTTACTGTACAGACTTTACACCTAACAACAGGCTCAACAGTAAAAAGCATTATTTCCAAAACATACCACATCAATTTATAAGTGTCCTAGCCTCTTTAAATGACCAGACTGAAGATTTCCAATTCTTGTCTCCATCAGTACAAACTGTAACACGAGAAAGTGATAAATATGAACACGCTAGGCATTTACGAGTTAAATATGTAACTCATTAGAGCCAAACTGACTTTTGAGGAAGACAAATGAGAGTTCAGTAAGTCCTACAACATTATCTTAGCGAATAGTAAAAATTATTTTCTTACAGAACCTAAATCCTTTATGTAGATGACATTGTCTCCTCTGTATCTTTACAGAATGTACATCTCTATGCAGATGATACAATTTTGTACTGTTGTGTGGATTCTGTTCAGATCCCTTCAGTGATGTTTTGTCGAGTTACAAGTTGCGCTCAATAACCACAACCAGTTCTTAATACAGATAAAACTAAATTCAAGCCAATTATAAAAATCTTCTCATCTCTACTTTGAGAGGTACAAATAATGAATGAGTCCTGGAGTACAATTATCTTGCATGAGAAACTGACATTTAAATAATATGTGTCCAAACTGGTGACTGAATAACACAACAAATTGGTTTCTTTCTCACACACACACACAAAAAAAAAGCCTCTGCATTTAAAAAAAGACACTTCTGGACGCAACTTCTTTATCAGTTTTGGATTATGGTGACATGCATGTCTCAGCTGTGACTCTCCAGTCCTTGATTTAACACTGGTGATGGTTATAATACTCATCATGATTACCTGTGCAAAGGTTGGATGGTCCTCACTAAAACATGACAGAGTTTTACTTGTTTCTAAGGCCCTTATTGCTTTTTTTGTTTTTTTCTTTTCTACCCCCTTACATTAATTCATTGCTGTCTTTTTACCATACGCATTTATTCTGCAGGTGCCGGCTGTTTTTACGGAGCTTGGAAAATCCACTTTAACTCAGTGTGCACCTGCAACCTGACATAACCTCCAGAAACATTATAGAGCTGGAGTATTTTCTATCCTTCGGGCTGTTTGTGGTTTTAATTTTGCTTTATTTTAGCCATGACTGTTCTTGTTTTAGATGACTCATTAGTTTTCACATTTTAAATGCTCTAATTAATGTTTTTTATTACTTTACTAACTTTGCCTTCTAATCCTTTTAATATTTTTCATTGTCCAAGTTTCTAGACTTTTTTTTCCCTACACGGTTACTACATTGTAAACGAGGCCTCTGTAGCTCAATTTATTCAGAGTTTAATTAAAGGCTGAATTAAGGAATGAATAAATAAAACAACCATTTGTAGATAAGGATCCCATAACATTAGCTTTCTTATGAAACAGTGACATTCATATCATAGTGAGTGGGACATTTAAAGGTAAAAAATATACTTGACGTTGTTTCTAATAACCTCAAACATAAAGTATGAAGTCTGCTTGTATTTTAATACTGTAATTAGGGTCCGAGCACCCAAACGGTGCGAAGACCCTATTGGAACTGTTCGGGTTTTTATTATTCTTCATGCCAAAGAGACGTGTTTTTGAGGTCCTAAACGTACTCGAAACTGCCCAAAACTTGGCACACACATCAGACCCGGTGAAAAGTTTTATAATTTGGTGGAAATACACACCTCAATAGGAAAATGGCTCCACAGCGCCACTGTGAAAATTTCAACGGAGTCCCGTTGGAAGCACATTTGACCGACAGCTACGCAATTTGGTAGGCATATAGAGCAGGTCAGGACGAACAAAACAGTCCCCCTGCGCCAAGCTCTAAAATGCAACATGGCTCAACTGCACTCCCTACAATATTTCAACAGAGTTCCATCGTGGCTACTTTTCACCTAGCACTACGAAATTCGGCACACATATGTAACAACTTATGACACACAAAAAAATCCATTAGTACATTTCCATAAACCCGACACAAAATCTGCCACGTTGGAAGAATGGCGAGCATGCCGGGCCATTTTCACTCAAAAATGGCCATTTTATCCTCTGCTATGGGGTATGTCATACACACCTGAAATTTGGCCAGCTCAAACTACAGGACGTGGGAATTAAAAGTTATCAAAACACTCCGCAGATGAGGCCCGGTTTGGAAATGGTGGCCCGTGCAATTTTCAATCAATGGCCATTTTGGCCCTGCAGGTGTTTCTGGCATTCAACGGAGTCCCGTCGGAAGGCCGTTTCACCGACACCTACAAGATTCGGTGGGCATGTGTAGCAGGTCAGGACACACAAAAAAGTCGATCAGCGCCAAGCCCTAAACAAAACAGGAAGTCCGCCATATTGAAAAAAACATGGTGAGAATTTTGTGGTTTTCGCCCATTTTGGGCCATTTTGAATTAAATGGGACGTGCTGTGTAACTTGCCTGTAAGTGCTCCGATCTCCCTGAAACTGTACACGTGTGCTCCGAGTCCAGTCACAGCGCATTAAACACATATGCACACCGACTGGCTCAGTCACACTGCTGCGAGAAACGAGGAACCGTCAAATGCCGCTTGCTGCTTTGATTTAACACTGTAACTTTTCATTTTATTTAACATACATACCATTAGAATCATCTCTGCAGGAAGCAAAAAAAGTTGGCCCACATACTGACTCAGCTACTTCATTAGTCCAGCTCTATAAAACCAGCAAAAACCTCTAATATGGTTCTTTACATTCACCACAGCAGTTTCAATTAAGCAGGGGAGGCTTTTTGGCGCATGAACCAAATCTCTAACAAGCAGACACTGTATTCTCCTGCTGTATTACTCCACTGTGAGCTTCTCGGTAATCCACCTGCAACATTCGAGGTTAAGCGCCTTGTTCAGGGCTTGAAGGTGAAGGAAGAACAGCCACATTACTCATTCATTTTCACCCTGCCAGTCTGAGCAGCTCAGCCGATGACCTGCTCTTTATAGTTTGCTGCAACATTGCTGAATAATGCATCTGCGCTTCCTGCTGTGTATCTCCATCCACTGGCGCATCAGCACTTTTTCCTTTTTTTTTCTCTCTCTCTCTCTCTCTCCTGAGCTAGAAAACGTGAACTGTGTTCAGAGAGCTGCTCTATATGGTTATATACCCTCACACTCATGTCATATTAATGGCCGTACTTCCTGCCCTGAACGACAGACACAAACAAGGTGCAACGCTGCATTTTGTCTAATTAAATTGTGCGAAGGACATCAATTATTCAGTGATGCTCAGTATTTATTTTATCTAATACCAAGAAACAGAGAAGATAATCGCCCTGGGTCCTTTGTCACTGTTCCTTTATCTTCTATGCTTTCAAAACCTTAAAAAAAAATGGCAGTGGGGCTACAACTACTGATTATTTTCAGTATTCGTTCTTATGTTAATTATCCTTTTGATTTACTGCTGAATCCTTCGTCTATAAATTGTGAAAGTAGCTGCCTATATTTCCCTATCTCTCCGTCTGCCTCATTTCTTTCTACTCAGGTGTCTGTCGCAAAAGAAATCTTTAGTTCTCAGACGATACCTGATTAAATAAAGATTATATATCGCTGTGTTTGCCTGCTTTCTTTAGCAAAAGAACCTCTATGAGATATAGCTGGTTAAAAAATAGAAGAAGCAAGCTTTAGAATCCTGTCGTCGATTTCTCTGTCGTCGTCTATATTATGGGGGGGAAAAAACACCACCACAACGATTAAGGTTTGGACAAAACACCTTTAAATGACTTGAACTGTTTACTTGTTGAAAATATAACAGTAACTGTTTTTCAAGCAAAAATACCAAACATGTCCCGTTTCCTGTTAATCAAATAAGAAGATTTGAACCTTTTCTGTTTTCTGTTGCTCTAAACTGAATATTTTGCATCAACAATATGATGCACTTTAGCCTCTGAGAAATGTTTTATTATTATTATTATTATTTTTGTCTTTTATAGCTTCAACATTTTATTTGCAAAAATATCTAACCAAGCAACTGATAAGAAAAATAATTACTATGAGCTGCAACACAAATCCTCACATATGAGAATCTGTAACTACAAATGTTTGGCGTTTATGTTCAGTGAATAACAGAATGTTTGATTATCAGCAGCTTTTGTTCATTCATCAGTTGTTCTGAAGCTTTAGATTGTAACACAGGACTTGTTTAGAATTTAATCCTAATTAAAAAATAAATACTTTTAAGGACCTCTCATCAACACATCACAAAACCGGGCGGCAGGTTTTACTTTAAAAATGACTAAAGCCAGAAAGAAAAGTCATTTGATTTTCAACTGTTATGTCGGGACACTTAGCAAAGTTAAAATTGTGATATTTTAGCAAAATCACTTTATTCTATATGTCTCATTAAAACAATTGCCAAAAAATATAGTGTTTGCATGAACCGGCTCCTGTTAAATAATAAATAAATAAATAAATAAATGTGCTTTTTGGCAAAACCTTGAAACAATTTTAATGAGACCTGTGATCAACATTGGAAGAAAAATCTGAAAATTTCTCCGCTAAACTGCAGAATGTGTTTAAAAAATAGGAGACAGTATGGAAACGAATTAAACTCTAAGTAGGAAAATATCTATATTATGTAGAGTCACAATTTGTTTTATCCAGTGATGTTAACACTTGTGATAAATTTGAAAAATAAATGCTGCATATGGTGATTTTATTTATTTATTTTAAAAAAAAATCAAAGAAATTGAACATTTGTTTTTTTCCTATTTTAATGATAATGCATTATAGCTGTGTTGTACTGCAGACAAGACATTTTTGAGACGTCTCTACGTCCAGTCATGGTCATGCTGCTTCCATAGAGGTGCAGGACTTTATACTTCGCTAATAAAAGAGCCATCAATGAATACCAATATGACAGAAGCACCCATTCCCAGAAACTTCAGAGGGTTCAGAGGGTTAAAGCCACCTTGTATGTAATTGTATGTAATTAAAGGCACCTCTGTGGTAAATAACAGAAACGTTAGACTCCCTGTGAACATCCATCCCGTTCACTCTGTGGCTGTGCTCTCGGCTAAAATGTCTTATGAAAAGAAAAAGAGGCTGAAGGTTCGCTGTCAACCTCAGAGACAGATGAGTGATGTGATACAACAAGTACTAAACGGATCTGCTGGTGTGACTGATTCATTTCCTCCATATTGATCCAACACCTGCTTGATCCTTTCCTTGCTCCTCTCTTATTTTTCTGCTCTAACTCTACCACTCTCTCTCCCCCTCCCCGTCTCACCCTCTCCATCTTGCGGTGGAGCTCCCTCATGCTGCCGTCCCACTCCTGCCTCTCCCGGTCGAAGCGCTCCAGCAGCTCGGCCCTCTCTCGGCTCCACCTCTTCTCTCCGTGCTGCAGCTTCCAGCGGAGGTCCAGCGACGTGCTGTGGCTCTCGGCCAGCAGCCGCCGATGCTCCTCGCGCTCCTGCTTCAAGGGCCAGTCGGGGTCTCCGGTCGGCTCCTCTTCGCCTCCCTGAGCTTCACCTCGCACCTGACCCCGGGCCTCCTCCTCCAGCTGGTCAAAGAGCAAAGACTGGTGTTATTAAGCTGCACAAAGAGATAATTAACATATTACAGTGTATAAAAAATGCCTTTAGACGGAGATATCTGCTGACAAGTGCTTAAAATCTAGTTTTTAAATGCATTTATATTTAATTTGCCTTTAATGTAAGCGGTTTCTTTGTAATTTCAGTGAAATATTGCTTCATTTGAACAAGAGGGTGTCAAAAGTTTACAGATGAAAAAAACAGCCTCTGGTTTTTGTTCTTAGTTTTTGTCTCCCCGGCTGTGGATCGATACGTTTTTAGAGAGGTAAAATGCCCCCATTTATCCTAAAAGTGCCATCAGAGGTATTAGGTTATCTTTTAATCTTATATTTGTTTGTGTATTTTTATGTTTATTTCTGTCTTTCAGTTGAATAAAATGAAAACAGAAGCCAAATGTTCATCCAGCTGCAAAACAATACGTCAAAACAGACGAGAGAAACGACTGACGAGTGAAGCGAGTTGTCGTTTCAACAAACGATGAAACTGTATGAATGAGCCGACAATCTAACGGCTCACTGGGGCTGATCGGTGTCGTTCTGCAAATGCTGCAGATGAGGAGGTTTATTTTAAATGAAGCCACTGTGATCAGATTTGTATGAACAAAAGAATTAATAAAAAGAAAACTGATTCAGAGCAAGGTGTTGTGGGAGAGATGAAAAAATCACAACAAATTAAAGGAGATTTAGAGCATAACTTACAGTGATGTGCAGTGGATGAGTGTTTGCTCAAAATCTCATCAAAATGAATTTATGTCAAGTTTACACATCAAGTCAAGAACACACATAATAACCCAAACAATGCAGACGACATACAGGCTGTGATAAAAATAATCGGCAATAAAAGTTTGACATTTTGGGAAATATGTTCATTTGCTTTCCTGCTGATGATTAAATATGAAGGTCACTCTCATGTCTGTGTGACAAATACGTATGATAATTAACCAGCTAGTTAGCTTAGCTTAGCATAGCATAAACATCAGAATTACCCAGTGGTAGTAGCTAGCTAGCTTTTTATCGTGTCTTCTTCTTCCTTCTTTTTATGGCAGGTAGCAACTGCTGTTAACCCTTTATAAGGCACTCCTTGAAATACATTTCAACCCTGGGGTGTTATTGAAGGATATTTCAAGATATTTTTACTGTTGTGACTTAAAAAAAAAAAAAAAATGTTGCAAATCAGGATGAATAAAGTTACCATATATGGTAACTTCTACAGTTAGATTTAATTTTAGTTTGAGGTAATGACACTTACACAACCAGTAACAAAGCGTTTATAAAGTGCCTGGAACATTTGTTTAGTGACATTTTTTGTAAGGTGGTGATATTGGCACTGATATTATTTATACTGATATATATTTATACACATATATTTATACTGATGTATACTGATATTGTTGAATTTCCCTTCTGGGATAAATAAAGTATTTTTCATTTCATTCATTTCATTTCATATAAAAACTAAATCAAAGTGCACATGGTTCTTCAACCTCAAGGAGAGGCACAGGGTGGACGTATTGAACATCCAAGGAAGTCACCAAATATGGTCACTTGCCCCATAACGGGTTACAAAGCCGTACTTTAACCCTTTATGTGGCATCTTAATCGTTACTGGCTCTGGATTAGTTACCATATTATCACATGTGCGTTATTAAAATTATGGTAGTATTTCATGTATTAAATATCACAGTGATGGTTTAGAAATCCATACTTGCAACTTGAGAAAATATGAAAATTAAACACATTTTCACAAATTTGTTGACACATTTGGAAAAAAAATGGTACAAAGACAGAAGAAACTCACTTTGCTTTGTGCAGTGTGTTTCTTTTTTCGATTTAGTTTTTGGTTGCTTTAATTTTTTCCCATCTTGTTTTCACTTAAGTAAAGATGCTTTCATAATTTGCTTTTTTTTAAATTGCATTGGTTTCTCAAGCTGCAATTCCCCGTGTTCATGTGGACCTGCAGAGTAACAAATGAGCAACAAATGTGAAATTAAACAAACATGAAATAACATGTCTAGTTGTGCAAAGTTGGATTGTTACATTTAGACTAAGCAAGGTTAATGGTCTCCAGTTCCTACACAAAGCTGTGGATCGAACGCATTAATTGCGCAGACACAGCAGTATTGATCTTCTCAAAGTGTGGAAGTGTGCTCCTAAAAATGTTTGAGATTCTTGCAGGGGAGGGAAAAAAAGGAGAGGAAACTGGATGTTAAGTGGTCAAACGAACCAAAAATAAATAAAACCAAAAAGAGCAACCAAAAATAATCCCTGATTTTAAATTTCTGCTATTAAAAAACAGACACGGTGAGATGATGAGAGTTTATCAGGAACCACTGCTGGTTATTCTGCAGCCAGCGGTGACAGACGGTTTAAACTGGGCTGAAGGCTGCCCTCCCAAATTTATATTTCAAACTGCACTCCGGTGGGAGGGAGGAGGGGAGAAAGGGGAGGGTGTGAAGCGAGGATTCAGACGTCCCGCAGAAATCTTCAAAGCCGCAGAACAACGAACGGGGAGCTTCTCTTTTTCTGCAGAACAGAGCTTTGTAATCTTCAGACAGGCTTTGATCCCACAACATAATGTACGTTGTGTGCTGCAGCCGTGTGAAGAGCAAGTCAAGGCTGTCCTCAGAAACAAGCTTACATAACTCCCATTCACAATGTTTCCTTGTGTGCTTCTTTATCGGGTTTTAAAACTGTCTGATTAGACGCTGGAGAGGGTGACATGTGCATTAATAACCGCTGAGGGGTCAAGACGTGAGCCTTTATAAATATAGACAGTTATTTAGGAGTGAGCCAGAGCTCCAAACCGGAGCGTGAAACATGAGGCAGGCTGACATTAATATCTGCTCATAGTGATTTTAAAAAATAATCTCTACTTATATCCACCTATAAATACACAGGTGAAGCTAATTTTCTATTCTGCTCTACTGGGCAGCATAATGAATAAAAAGCACATTTCTAAATCTTAATCAGAACAGTGGAGCGAGTAAAGAGCTCAGCGTTGTGTTATCAGTACAGTATAAGTACATTAGTTCTCGACCTCTGCTCTGTGGAAGGATTGAACCATGTAAGAGCTTCACAGATTAAAAGCAGCAGAGTTAAAAAAGATAATCTTCCGCCTATTAGTCAAACTTCTTAATTGGTTCCCGGGTGCTGCCGTTTCCTTTCTGCCAGATAAAGCTGGAGAGGCGATGCTGCTCTGACAGGCGCGGGTTTAAAATTTCATCTCCCAACAAAGTGGTCAAAGAAGAACATATTCAGTATCATGAAACTGACTGTGAGCTCATTTTTTTCTACTTTGGTGATCACCTGTCTTGCTTCAACTCTCAGTGGGGGGAAAAAAAGTTGAGTTTAAATTGGGCACAGCAGATAATGATACTACCACCGCCATGCCGACTAAACTTGGATTCAGTATCCCTCCTATACAAACCTGAAGTCCAGCGCAAGCTAGAATAAGAGTTTAATTTATAGAAGGGTTCCTGATGAAAACTACAGTATATCCACTATGAAACATTACCCACTTTTTAAAGTTAAACTTGTAATAACTATTTTTTCTGCCCTCTGAGAAGCATCAAAAACAAGCAATATTGATATATAATCATCATTTCATTTAGCACACAGCTGATTATTTGCGCATCTGGTATTATCATTAAGTTTCTGGCCAACTGGCAAAATGTTAGA